CTTACGCTTCTTTCGTGCTCTCCAAACTTCCCACGTGCTCCATAGCTCGATAGTGCACGCTAAAGCATGAACCAACTGTTAATTAAATTAATTTTCCGTCGCGGTTTCGGTTCGCAGACGACACAAATTTTGGCGAGTTCACGTTGTTGTTTTGCATAGGACGGCTAAGAAATGTACAAAGTTTCAAAACGCACGTGCTGAGCTATTGTTCTGCCAATTAGATCTCTTGTTTTTCCACGTCCTCGTCGCCGTCGAGGTTGCTTAAGGTCCCTATTTTAACCAATGAGAGGACGTTGAGATCTTTCAGAGGATGATTTTAACCAATGAGAAGCCGTTGACAGCACGCGCACTATTCTACCACTTGCCATAACTTTAACGTTACCATCCCATCGAAAATTCCGGAAAACAAACTGCATAACTGCCGTAGTCCTTTGCTGCTCAGAGCATACTGCTGAAAGAGGAAACGTTTCACCCCACGGCAGTTCTTTAGCTCCTTCCGAGGTGTCTAAGCTGCTACTTAAGTCTACACAAACAGGTCGACACCGTTGCTCCATTTATGTATGTTAAAATTATGTTTCAGATATCAGTTCCTTGAGTTATTCTTGATACGTTCAAGTCTTTTCTTGATGTCTAATATGCTATCTGGATCCGCTGTCATCGAATCAGCGGTGTCCGTTGACTGTGAAATAATCGAGGGCTGCAAAAAGTAATAATATAAGAAATATATCATTAAATGAATGAGCGAAAGAGCGAGTAAGTGAAAGCGTGTGCGTGAGTGCGAGTAAGTGTTAGCGTGTTAGCGAGTGCGAGCCTCTTCACTCGTATTCAAGAATCGCGGGCCTGTTACAGGGTTAATTGAATTGAATATGAAAAAAATTTAATCGCACTGTAAAGGTCGGCACACACGAGGGGACTAGTCCCTGCGACTAGTCCGTGCGACTAGTCCCGGTGACAAGTCTTTGAAGGGTTTACACGAGGGGACCGGTAGCAGGGACTAGTCCCTTAAGGCGTTCACACGAGGGCGCTCAACTGCACAAGAACATAGGAAAATTAAGAGGCAAAAGATGTTTCTTAGTCTGGGGCGTTACACAAAAACAATGAAAATTTGGTAACTTTTCATTGTCGCAATATTAGACTGGTCGCAGGGATCAAATTTTGGTCCCTGTGACCACAGAAATGTATAGTTCACACGAAGGGACTAGTCGCATGAAACTGGTCGCTGGGACCAGTCGCAGGGACTAGTCCCCTCGTGTGTGCCGACCTTAAGACTTACAATGTTGATGTAGGATGGTTTCTTATCAGCCGCACTCAGTAACCGTTCGTCTGTGGACGGTTCTTCGTACTCTGACACACGCTGGTCTCCTGATTCCGCTCTCTAAAAATAAGTTACAAGAGGTCGTGTAATGTAGTATAAGAAGTAAATGTCAAAGAACTGTACTGGAAGCCCTACACTATAAAGAGATATGTCTTTAAACCTTTGATGTAGTGTTCGACTGATTATCCAGGCCAGCTCTCATTCTAAGAACCTTCAGTCTGTCTCTGTAGGCATCGGCATCGTCTACGAATGGAAAACAGAAATATTCAAACAAGTGACAGAAACTCAAAAGAGTATTCTCGTCTCATTTAAAAAAGCATGATTAGACGTGAAATTTCGAACGAGAGTACCCCATAATCGACTGGGATAAGAGGGGAATAAAAGAATACCTGTAAGATGAACATGGTTTTAAATGGACCGTTCTATGAAAGCGCACAAACAACGAAAACAAAACAATGAAAACGAAACAACTAAATTCAACTTACTCTATTAATCCATTTGATTGTTTATTTGTTTATTCCACGTAGGGGCTCAAAACTTTAAAAAAATATTTATCTTTTTTTCAAATGTTAGCATTCCTTAAGCTTTTCTTTATAATATCCCTTGCATTATCCAGCAAACAGGTAATGAGAATACTCAAACTTTTCTGGTTGAAGTCGTTATCCTTATCTAACAACAAACTCTCGTAACTGATTTACAAGGAAACGTGTAGCAGCTAAGGGGAGAATTAACAATCACCTCGGGACTAAAAGGGTTAAACGAAAACCTAGAAACAAAGCCGAAACTTTTTTTACCGGTACTTTCTTCTTCTGTTAAATTTGATGAGGTGAGCGCTGTCGTCGATATTCCGGACGGGGGAGCTGTTCCTGCAAAATACAGGTGTTCTGAATAATCAAGTCAATCAAGTCCAGTTATCAGCTCATGTTTAGAGTCACCTACGCTTTGCACCAACTGTTGTGGAGCTGAAAAAAATGCTGGCTCAAAATAACCAATTGTCCACGATTTAATAAATTTAATCAGACAAATATCCCATTCACGCTTTTTGGATACGAGATTAATTGAAGCCAACTAGGCGCTATGCACCTTGTTGGTTAATTACCGTCTCATATCAAATGCGCGCTCAGGGATTAAATGTTACAAATTCTTGTTAAATTAGCTTAGAAATGTCGCATCAAATTGCTTGATGTAGGCCCAGAACCAAAAGGAATCTCAAGGTTTCGATCAGAATGAAGTTAAATATCACAAGAAGCAAATGAGAATTCAAGGAAACATCATCAAGCGCGGGAAAATGTCTGATTGGTTGAGAGTGAGGCCACGTTTTCTGCATCAATCACAAAGCTAGGGAAGCTGATCCAAAGCAATCCCAACATTCAGTTAGAAAATGCTCTAGTCCGTGAGAGGAGGCATAGCAGGGAAACAAGGACAGAGAAAACAGTTTGAACGAAAAGAATTAATTTTCCTTGGACTTCCGTGAAGGCTCCTCCTGAGGCCAAGCCCTGGTTCTTTCGCCACTTTCAAAAGAAGTGGGTTTTCTTTGCTTGATATATGATCCGTTGGTTTGTAAAGTTCAGATCCACAGATTACATGCCTTACTCGATAAACATCTTACCGCCGCCCAATTAGCCCAATGGATAGTGCGCTGGACTGTTGTGCGGGAGGTCGAGGGTTCAAGCCCCAGCCAGACCAATACTTATGGTCTTAAAATAACTGAGGAGAATTTGCTACCTTTCTATAACAAGAAATGGATAGATATTCTAGTCTTCTTGGATAAGGATGAATAAACCATAGGCCCCGTCTCCTGCAGGGTTAGGGGTAGGAGACGTTAATTTCCCACACACGAAACAACTGTGTGGTGGATGTCCTCCTCTGGGGTGGGATGGGTAGGTGTTGGCCCTGAAAAGCTCCTATGGGGAGTGGTCAATTAACCTATGTATGTATATGTGTTCACAATTCTGCATGCATTGACAAAAAAATCAGTCATAACCAAACTTCTCCGAAGTATTTGGAATCAATGCAATGCAAATACATCATTAACATCATCAATAGACTGAAAAAAAGGATGTACCGTGAACAAAAGAGAAAATAGCTTTCTGATGTACTATTTTAATAACTAACAATATTTTTCTTGTGTAATTGTATTTGATCAAGTACTTACTGCCCAACTGATGTGCCTTGTCCTTCTAGAGGAAAGCCCAAGATTCCTGCAAGACGAAAACAAAATGGCTTACTCTAAAAATTACACCAAAGCATAACAATTATTAATAAGAAACCTGGAAAAATCTACATGTGTTTATTAATTGTCCTTGCCCTATTTGTTTTCTTTGACTTTTTTGAAATAAAAAACTGACTAAGAATCTGTTTTCCACTGATAACTTAAAAAAGAAATTGACACGAAAACATACCATTGCATTGCAGTCCTGGATTCAAAGACAGGTTTGCTGTAAAATCTGCTGAAAATCCAAAATTTAACTGCCCTGTCCCCTCCATGTACCTACAAATACAAAAACATTAAACAATAATTGGAACAAAACCCCATCAGAAGGTGAATCAAACAGTCAAATGAACAAATCAATAACTCTTGAAGACAGTTTCAAAAAGCTGCTGAAAGCTTTCAGCCCTGCTGTAAGAACTAGAATGATTTGTATCCATTCCATTTCAACAGGAAAGTTTGGATTTAGCTACACCCATACGTTTGATCTGGAACCAATAAAATGAATCCTGTAATAAACTTTTGCTGGAAAGAGTATTTGGTTTCTATACCTAAAACTTTTTCATGCATAATATTTTATGACCTACAGGCTAATCTTGCAAAGACATTCCACAAGGCTCAAAGTGCCAGTTTGTGTCAAGGATATAGTTAGCCTGATGCTATGGCTTAAATTTATAAAATAAACAGAGGAGCGTCTAATTATTATGAAGGGCAATGAATCTTGCAAGATGGACAAATGATCAATAGACAGACACTCAGACCCTCCTAAATTTATAAGCTTGCTAGCACATTACATGCAACCTTTCTGTATGTGACTGGCAATGTTGAGCTGTTCAAAGCATTGCATTCTGAGAATTTCTATACACAAGTTAGTACTACATTTGCACTGTTGTATCTTGATGTTTTGGCTGTTTAGTTTGTGCTAGGTTTCTTCAACAGCTTACGAACATTTTTGTGGAGCTAATCTAATCATCAAATTATCATGACTTTCTAAAGTAGCCAATACTAATTGGCTAAACCTCAACAATAAGGTATCAAACACAGGGGGGCCATGTCACGTTTTGCTGAGGTATCAATATATTCATTGGTCCAGTTTGTCCATATATTTGTGGCTTCTTCAATACATAATCCATGACAAAAAATATCTGGGCGTGTTTAAAAAATGTTCTACAATGCATACTTGTATTAAAAAATAAGTGTCCTATTTGTACAGTGTAGAAGAGGCAGGTATTTGAGACTTATTCTTATCACATTTTCCTCCCAATGTGCTTTAAAAGGGAGTTAAAAAGTTATTGTTTAACTCTGGTAGAATGAGCACACATGATACAATACACCTGGTGCGTTGTTTAGAAAGCATATATAAACAAATATGGCATGATTAAGCATTACTACTTGCACAGCTTCTGATAGCAGAGATTTCAAACCTCTGAAATAAAACTCAAGTGCATACTCAATTCTATGTATATGCATTATGTATTATGCTAAAAATAAAGCTCACTGAGATTATACTGGTTGTTCAAACTTTATATTCAAAGCATATTTATCAGCTGAATTCAAACCTTTCCGTACCAGTTACATGTAAATATATCTACAAGGATGTACCAGTTACCAAAAGGGTCAAACAATATACACATGTAGATATGTATTCTATGTTCTAAGTTGGGCAATACAATAACACCATCTTTAACACAATATTAAGCAGGTAAAAATGTTCAGGTAAACAAGTGTAGCAAAGAATGGGAGTTTGATTCTCTGTCATAAACAGATTTCATGAACAATTCACCACAATATCTACAGTATAACCATCTCTGGAACAACTTCAAGTTTTCACAGCATTAAAAACAAAAAAATATATAATATATATCATTCAACAGTTAGGTATATCTCTCATAAATTCATGAAGCATTCCTCCTTGGGTTTAAAAACTCTCAAGTTCTAAATTCATTTTTTCCCAGTCCAGCACCAAGAATAAACTCTTCCTATAAACTTCTGGTAATACCTTATTACAAGGTACTTGAAATAAACAGGTTTAAACAAGTTGAGAAAAAATATCTTGATTCAGTAATAAACATTGGGAGAGAATCGATTGTGTAAACATTTTATCTAGAAAAAATATAATCTACGATGTGATCCTTTAATCTTGACTTGAAAAAGAATACACCTGTCATTCTTAAAAACACCTTGTTTATATCAGCACAATAATTCAAATCAGAAGTCTGTACGACTCCAAGAGTGATCTACCAGTATTCTAGCCCACGCCTAACAACTTGTGGAATTTCTGATAAAGAAACTCAATACCTGTGTGAAAATCGAACTATAAAAACATCTTCCAAAGTAAAAAGAGCATAACGAAAACAGAGCATGTGTACTATGAGACCGTGCAAATATTTTACTTCCATTTGCAAGTATATTCAAAGTAGAGAACATGAATTGCTCTCAAACCTTCACCATATATACCCTGCCAAATTTTATTTGACAGGCTTTGCAATATCATGCAATACAAGTTCATCAGTTCAAGTTCGTGAAAACGATGTTCGATCGCCAATGGTCAGTCACGTAATTTTTTATTTCTCTTGTCATCTCAAAATAATCGTAAAAGCATGCAGCTTTATGAATCTCATAACAAACAAAAGTAAATAAACTTTGTTTGGTATAGATTTCAATGCTTTAGGAGTATGATTGAAAACACAAGACTGCGTGAGGCCACAACGAATTTGGAGAGTTCATGTCACAAAGCGACTTAGGACAATTTCTCACGGAATTACAAGGAATATGCAAACAAAACATCACTATAAATCGCTGTATCTTGTTACATACAGCCCGCAAGCACAAGTCAAAGGTCTCTCAAAGTTATCTCAGCTGCCTGAAGGTATTTCCGCTGAAACTTCTTAAAACAGAAGCGCCGATGCGAACCCGAATGCGTTTTAACGAGAAGTCACGCGAAACGATGAGGAAAAATATAAATATTTGAGATTTTTAAAGTAATTGAAATGCAATTTTTAGAAAGGATTTTTCCAGAAGAAGCAAAAATCTCCTAAAAACAATGGCAAAAACAATTCATGCTTGACATAATCGTGAAAAACAATACCTTTTGTAAACAAGTAAAGTGCGCGCAATGAAAAAATTGCCAAGTTAATCGAAGCCTAATGATTAAGCTTATTTGGTTTATTGCTGTAATAATCAAACTCTATATGCCAATGAAAAGCGTAAACAATTAAGAGTTATTAAAGAAATAACCAAGAATGATAATGGCCTAAAACAAAAATCGCCAAATCTGTGAGAGTGAATTCAAAGTTTGGGTTTTCGTGTTGAAGTGACGTCGAGAGCGCATCTGACCACCAGTGTTCTTGGAGTGTTTGTTCAAGCACAAGAATAATCATGATCGATTAATCATTTTGGTATTTTTAACCTTTTTCAATGAGCGACAACTTAATATTTCCTCTTCTAGTGAGATTATTGCATTTTTAAAAACCTTGTGTTCGAATGGTACTAGGGCTGAAAACAAACAGCTCCATGTGCACACAAAATCAAACACTTCCGGCACTCTAAATAATAATTCGAACTTCAAGCAACGAGAAGTAAAGTTCAGAAACCGTGATTAAAAAGACATTACAAGACATCTTCAATTCATTAACACATCGCATGCAACAATGTAACGAAAACAAAATTTGCCCGTGCCTATAAGCTGGATAGGATACGATGGTAAATCATTTTTGGCGCGTGGTTCAAACAGCGTACTTTTTATGTCCACACTGCATACCAAAACTTTCCTTCACATAACAGAACGAAGATAAAATGTGTATGGTTTTCTTCTATCTTAAAGCTCTGCTAACGGTTCGTTTTCTAACATAAATTCGAGAGAGAGCAGGTCATCGTATAATTTTAATCACTGCCGAGTTAGGCCAAACTTATTACACCTAATTAACCTTCAGATTCCGTCATAATTCCCTCCTAGTTCCGCGAATTTCACGACCCTTTTGTAAAAAAAAAAAAACAAAAAACCTTTGATGTGAAATTGAAAAGTTATTTCGGACGCGTTAAAAATTCATCTCTAGCGGTTTCTAGAGGCAAAAGGCGGGCTCCAATTCAGATTTGGTATTGCTACATGTCTGAGTTAACATGCGAAGTTTACCAAACAACTTAACTTAAAACAGCTTTCAATAAAAACTAAATGTCAAAGGGTTAGACATGCTCGGACCCAACAAGTATTTTTCGCGGGATATTAAGTTTCCGTTTGAGCGACACACAAAGGATCGGGTACGTTGCGTAAAACTTTAAATTACGAATTCACAAAAGATTAACGCCTTACCCGTCCGCCATGACTTTCTCGTCGGAGGAGAAACATTCATACAAGTTTGAGAGGAGAAGTCCATCGGGATCTAACTCTGCAATCGCAGAAAAACAGAACTAAGTACCATCGAATGCTTTCCCAGATTGAAATAATACACCTTGCGGTCCATTAGGTGACTGTATCAACTACAACTACGCTTCGATGACAAAATTTCGCCAAACCTACCCAAAGTTGACTGTAAGCTAGGATCGTCTGAGTGATTCATAACTCGTTGAGTCGTCAAACCAAAGGCAACCAGCCTTCTCTTCACGCTTAATAAGTCATTTTCAGATCACTAAGTCAACAGAAAGCGCAAATCCAAAAGCCGCTGCGAGATTTGTGTGTCCTGGGACTAACTACCAAGGGACCGCTCATAGATAAATTGGCACGTGACGTGCATTGTCATCAGAGATCTTTGCTTAAATGACACCTCCAAAAGTGTATTGCACCTCCATCCTGGTTACGCAATATCCTAACGGATATGCGCCACCATCATTCCCCTGAATCATTCGCGAAATAATATTTAAGTAGACTTCCTAGCTTTTTTGTTAAAGGCTGCAACGACGTTGGTGGGTTGGACAAGAGGTGCTTCGATCTACTACCCCATTGCGTGCGAAAGAAGGAGTTTTTCGCGCGCGTACACCAAGCCTCTCAAATTTCACACCAATTTTTTACACCTTTGATAACCGCTGCTACAAAAAGAAAAGTAACATCCTCATCTCAAAACGAAAAAAAAGGGAAACATTCATAGCAACAGTAAATAACAAAATTCTCTCACTGTGCCCAGTGAAAGTGTGCTTATTAATTTTTCGACGATTTTTTGAAAAGTTGTGCTGTAAAAAGATCTCTCGTTAAATGCCCTATCTTTGATGCTACGCTCACAGCTATGACCCTATTTATGATGATATTCTATTGTCAATCCCTGACGAGGTCATCCCACGCAAACATCAATCGAATAAAAACAAGAAGAGACTGACAAATGGCAACTGTCTGAGCACGAAAGAGAAGGACTCGTTGCAACTTTTAACTCCGATCCGAAACTGTAACGCAGAAATAATTTATGGGAGGCAGCATCGAGTAGAGATCTGAACAAATCTAGAATCGTCTTTGGGAGAGATAACGGATTAAACAAGGACGGAATTTAATGGCAAAGGGAAAGGTGAATATTACCTTCGAGATATCCTGAGAAAACGTCTCTAATATCTTCTGTGTGATCTTCGTTTCCATTCATGCTAAGGAAATCAAGACTCCGAAGCAACTGCGGCTGTAAAAACGTGGCAGGAAACCATACAAAATCTGTTGATATTGAGACTATGCGAGGTTCGTCTTCTTAGATTTTTTCTCCAATCATCCCCAAGGGCTCATAGCTGTCCTCCGATAAATGCCGATTTGTAACGCGCAACAAATATGATTCTTTTCGTATATGTGACCGTCCAGATAGAAGAGAATGTACGTTGATTAGCCAACAATAGAAAAGTCAGTGACTTGCTGAAGGGGTCAGTAAGGCTAATATTATGTTCTAGAATAAAACTAATAATCGATTCACATTTTCCCTCTGGCATTATTTGCATTATACGCATTACTTGTTACTAACCACTCGTGTACAGTGTTTTTTTTTAGTGTTTACTGGGTATTGAGACTTCCTTAGAAATAGATTCGAAGGCATATTGGTCAATTTCGCAAGAGTTCTTGAAATGCTTGCCTGTCGTATTTCTGTTTTGGCAAACCACTTGACTATCACGTGTACAGTGCACCCTAACAATAAGGTCGAACTTTGCCAAAGGCCAATTACACGAACCGTACCAAGAGCAATCTGTACCTGATAAAGGATAACGAGGACTTTAAAGGAGCTACTAACGTCATAATATTGTGAATTTTTTTCCTATAATATGATAAAATATACTTGAAAACACCGAAGGAGAAGATGGAAAAACAGCAAATTGGACCCATTCTCGTTGTTAAAACTTATTTCGTTCACACGTGACGTAGTAAAAGGAGAAAGAAAAACTTTCCTTTCCCAGCGCTCTTCGTGATATCACGCAACCCTCCCATGAGAAATTCTTTCTCTTTAGCAAGGGGGGGGAAGGGTGGGGCGGGAGGGAGTGTTGCACGGTATCGAAAAGGAGACTAAAAATGGAGATAAACCCTTCGAACCCTAAGAATGAAAAGCATTTAATTTCTCCTTACAATATCACCACTGAATAACAAAATGACGTCATGAGAAAAGGCAATGATCGCCACCTAAAGCTCGGCTCTTGGTGGTTAAACAAATTAGGGAACTTAAGCAGTCACGACGGCAACGCAACGGAAGATGTCGATTAAAATATGAGTTTCTACTTTTAGTTAGAATTTCCAAAATGCCTGCATGTGTTTACCGTCTCATAGGGCGCCAGACCTCAAACTCAACATAACGCATAAAAGTAGCGTTGAGTTCCAAATGTAAATAAAATAATTTGCCGCCGCGGTTTCGGTTCGCAGACGGCGCAAATTTTGGGGATTTCAGGTTGTTGTTTTGCAAAAGACGGCTAAGAAATGTACAAAGTTTTAAAACGCACGTGCTGGGCTATTGTTCTGCCAATTAGATCTATTGTTTTTCCACGTTCTCGTTGCCGTCGCCGTCGGGGTTTGCTTAAATTCCCTAATATCCTTGTCAACGCCGGTCATTAGGAAAAATGTAGAGAACAGTATGAAGATCATGCATACTGATGTTAGAATATAAAGGGGTTAACGGATGGGTCTGTTGTTAATGACGAAGTTGAAACAATTTTTTCCTAGATACTCTGGCTTCAGCCATGACTGAACTGCGCGTTGAAATGCCCAATCTGCATTCGAGTTGANTCTCGGATAGGGACGAATAAATAAAGGTCCCGTCTCCTGCAGGGTTGGGGGGTAGGAAACGTTAATTTCCCACACACGAGATTACTGTGTGATGGATGTCCTCCCCTGGGGTGAAATGGGTGGGTTTATACCTTAAGTGTAAAGCGCTGTTGATCTGTCATTGTAAATAGCGCTGTATAAGAAATAAATTATTATTATTATTATTATTATTATTATTATTATTATTATTATTATTATTATTATTATTATTATTATTATTATTATTATTAGTTCTGTACCTGCTACTTTCCTTCCTTTTCTCTCCATCTCGATATTTCTTAGTCCTCTTTCAATGTAACTCTGGAAAAACTCGGAGGTTCGTTTTAAAAATGGATCAATGTCTGCCTCGGGGTATTTTTGTTTGAAGTCATAAAGTTCCGCCAAGCCCTAGAAAGACCGAAAAAAAAATTGAAATCCATTCGCATGAAGATTTGGGAAGCTCTACACCGCTCCGTACGATTTTAAAAACTTTGCAAAAAGTGATTTCCTGAAGTACTTGGTATCACTGAATAGAGGTCGACCTAAACTGCCAGCTTCATGCTATTTTTAACTCTAACTGGATGAATTCACCGCCTTTGTATCAACCCGTTACGTTAAACATTTTGTAGTAGTTTCCACTAACACTGATTTGGGCATCCATCGACAAGAAGCGACTAAAAGCTGTACACTCATAAAAGCAAAATCATAGAATTTTAGGTTGTTATGACTGGGAAGCCCTCTAACATTTTGACATTTTTAAATATTTTTTCGAAAGGAAAAGTCAAAGAATGGTTAATTGACCACATCAAAATAAGAAAATGGACAAAGTATATGCTCCTTGACCTACTCACCTCTCTTGTGTTCTCTTTCGAGCCTATTTTGGCGAATATCTCCGCTAATTTGTCATTAATTTTTTCTTTGTTTTGAGCCTTGTTTCCGCCCTAAAGTAAAGACCGAAAAAATAACATCATTCCTATAATTTCCAAATACCACATCTAAGGAAGATTACCAAAAAAATACCAGTAAATTCCATTGACATAGGAATGACGTCTAAAATAGACATAACCCCAATCAACCCCAAGGAGTGATATTCGCGTTTTCTCTAAGGGTTAAAACGCCCGTAGCTATATGAATGATAAAGATTCTTCCTTCCTTGCTGGTTTTAATTCAACGTGAAATTTTTCTAGTTCTAGATAATTCGAGTTTCATAAAAACTGCATAATTTTTTCATAAAGGGGGGTATGGTAATGATAGATCTCCACGAGAACAATTGCTTTCCCTCGCGTAAGGTTGCTGTCTTTAACACTGTTTTAGCTGTTTATGATCACGAATGTTAAGAATTTTGGCTCTACCATTTCAGATTTCATTTGGATGGATATGAGTCGATTTTTACACTTTATAAATCCAAACTAGAAACAAAGTAATCCCACCTGTCGAAGCTAGATCAATCACAACCGCAAATCAGAGCAGGGGTGAATGATGACAAAGGGCCAATAGACCTTTATGCTAATACGTTTAACTGCAAGTAATCGCGAGTGGTCACTTACATCGACTCCCATCAGGAGGTCTGGTACCGAGGACTTGCGCGGCGTTGTTGAGTCACTTCCGTTCACGTGATTCTCAGTACCCTTGCGACCACTGCTCTTGAGGATCTTCTTTAGATAAGCAGCAACCTCGCTGCTATCTGGATCATCTATCAAACCAAGGCAGTCTAAAATCTACGACGCAGAAACAAAACAAAATAAAACAAACGCGGTTGATGCAAAGGCCACTAAAAAAGGAAAGGAAATGGTGGATAGCAGCTACAAACCTCTTGTTTCTTCAGTTTGCCCAGTGTGTACAATATTGTCTTGATTGTTCTTAGTGGTGTATCGTCCGCGCGATTTTTCCACATCTGATCAGGGTGTGTCAAAAGGAACGTGTGTATGTCCAGGAGAATCTGATCCACTTTTACTTCAGATATGGTTTTCGGTAAATTTCGAACAACCTTCCATAGACACTGAAACGATACAACGAACATCATTGTTTCATACTTACCACAACGTTTTAAAAAACATCCTTTTTAATCGATGAAAGAAGATCGATTTGTCCCGCTCCAGTCAAAACCCTTAGCATAACCTTCATTCTACGAACGACCTAAGATTGGACAATCCTTAGAATCCGAAGATCAGCCCTTGCATCCCATAATAGTGTTGTGGGGGTTTTACCACTCGCTTGGCGAATTAACAAGAGGTACTGAGACTCTGTAATTTTCTTCTTTATTCTCCTATACTGCTCCTTCTACTACAGCTAATTTTCTCTCTCTTTCTCCACTGCTTATTTCTACTACTTTCAGCAAGGAGTGCCCCAGTATTAAATACAAAAATCACAGACATGTTTGGGTTAGCTGATCGTGGGAATTTCCAAAACAGGATGTTCAGTGTGGGTAAAACTCAAGGTCAGTTTTACCAACTCAACCATGACCACCTAGCAAACTAGTTATCCTCAACCATAACGAGGGATTAAAATGTCTAGCACGGTAAGTGCTGAGCCAAGGTCAAGCACACACTAAAAATAAATGATCAAAACTATAGATTCATCAAAATAGCACGTAGGGGCGAAAAGGCGAGACTTAATAAAACAAAAGGCAAATCTAAAAATACTTGAAATATCAATCCTTGAAAACGCTCTACAACAATAGCAACTCTTGTGTATTTAGACACAATCTACCCAGTGTAACTCCACGTAAATACAAACAAATTGGCGACTCTGAAGTTCGCCCAACTAAACGGTAATGATTCTTTATCATTTGACCAGCAGAAAGACAATGCAAGTTCTTAAGTCGGATTGGTACGGAATCACCTCAAAATTCAAAACTATAACGAAAGACTTTATCAAGCAGAGTACAAGTTGTTTTTTAACAGATCTCTTTTAAAATGCCCCTTTAAGAACTAACAATTCCACCCACCTTCATTACAAGCTCAAGAAACTTTGGTGAACTGAGCGAGTTACCGGCGCTCTCTTGAAGTAACTTGAGACAGTCTTGCAGAAGTTTGATCAATGAGCTGAAATACAAAACAAGAGGTACTTCCGTTGTCTTTCAGCACATCCTTGATGCGCCCCGTTATCACAAGTGAGAAGCGCGCAAATCAACCTCGATTGATTGAGCCAAGTTTGAGAAAACTGGGTGGTACATGTACATCCTTGTATTATCTTGGCCCTGAATACATATATCTTATTAACCAAACGCGAGGGCCGTACTGAGAGAATATCGGCCCGAGGTCTTGACAGTACGGACCGAGCGCAGCGAGGTCCGTACAAAAAAGACCGAGGGCCGATATCCTTCCAGTACGGTCCCGAGCAAGCTTGGTTAATAAGAGATTTATTATACGACTGAAGTTCAAAGGGACACAAGTGCGGTATCATTGGGGACCATTCCGGACAGTGCCCGGTCCAATACTGAGAGAATATTGACCGGTAATAGGGCATTTTGATTAGTTGATTTTAGTTATTGGCCCTTTGACTGCCCGAGTCGTGTAATAATCTTTGCTATCCTCTAATACAAGCTGAGAATGGACATACCTTCATCTTGTCACATCTTCAATCAGCGTCAAAATAAGTTGACACATCATGTTTGAAGAGCTCTACTTATATGAAGAATAACATTCCTGTTTCTACCTCACTCTAAACCAATAATAGACCGCCCTCCCCCATTCAATGATAGCTAAAAGTTCATAGAATCATGATACAATGTTGATTTGAAGAGGGAAGGGGGGCGATTAGGTTACTTTAACGAGGGGTAACAGGGATAAAATTGGAGTAATAGAAGATCGAAAAGATCTATGTGTCAACAATTTTGTCGCTGATTGTTGGTCAGACGCTAATTTTATTGACTGCTTTAGGTTTTCTCTTATACAATTCGCCAAGACAGTTAATTACCATAACACAGCAACGAAAAAGAAGTTGAAATTTCTCTAAAGCCAAGCCCTTACCCTAACACATAAGTCTGATCCGACATTTCAATGACTTTCACCATCAGCACGTTAATTGCCCTCAGTATTTGCGGTCCGTCTTCCAGAGCAGCCAAGCGATCGTCTGACAGTACAGTAATCAACACCTGCATAAGCTGCTTCAGAGAGCTCCGCGATACGGCACGAGCTAGCGCAGGGCTGGAGAACACTCCAAGCATGGTGTCTGTCAGGCAGTTGATAAGCCTAAGTACTGTTGCTTCCGGTTGCTGGTTCGATTCAATGTTGGGGATGTGTGTGGTTAGGATCATATTAAGCTGGAGGGATGCTGCATTCAGAAACTGAAACATAAGACACAACATTATCATATAAGTTGCTTTTGCAGTAGAGCAAAACCCTCCGTAGTTAACGAAACAAGGAAAACTATTCTTACTTGATCGATGTGTTTGCTGACTTCCTTGTGGTTCTTATTTCTGATCACTTTTTCGAACTGCACCAAGGCCTGGGTACTAGCTGTGACGTCACCGCTGGCGATTTGTGATATGACGTAGTTGAAGGCAGCAGTTGGATTGGTTCGGCTGAATACACCCATGTGAGGAGACGCAGGATTTCTGAGAAATAAAAAGAAACATCAGGCAAGGGATGATTTTCAATTCGACGTCAAGATAAATTGATTTTTCTTTTTTAAAATACGACCTGCTGAACAATGGAGTAAACTACAGGTAAGAGCGGAAAGTGAATTTGCTCTGTGTATTGTTTAGAACATTTGCACCATCGCCTCGTCCAACTCAGATGCAAAACCAATCGCGACTTTTTACTCATGCACTTAAGGACGTACACATTTATTTACAAGTATTTATTTATTTTTCCTCCTTGTGATATTTCCCTTTGTCCTGTTGGCATTTAGGAGCGCGTAGCCGGGGTTCCGTGTAAACCTTGAATTTCTTCATCAATTTTTATTCCTAATTGTCTCACGATCGACAAATCAGAGCCGTTCTGGTTTTTTTTATTTGTTTGTTTGTTTGTTTGTTTTGTTATTTGCCCTCATCTGGATTGCCCCACAAAACACACGAAATGCAGAAAAGAGCTTGAAAAGCGATAACGAGGCATATTTTTGGTAACCAAACTCTTAGATATATCACCAAATTCTCACAAGTAGAACTAAACAAACGTACAGAAAAAAGAAAAGAGAAATACAAGTTGATTGCAGAAAAGAATTAACAAATGGTAAACACCACAGCGTACACTATTGAGTTATGGATGCACGCGGGAGGTTGCTAAGCACGAAAGAAGCGTAAGAGTCGCTCGAGGCGATAGCCGAGAGCTACTCTAGCTTCTTGAGTGCTTAGCAACCTCCCAAGTGCATCCATAACTCAATAGTGTACGGTGTGGTGTTTACCATTTGTTTTATAACATAACATTGATACATTGTAACTAAAGAGTTCCCTTTTATTTAACAAATCTTACGTGACCAGAAAAAACAAGCGCGCGCGGAAAATAGTCTTTGCATTTGCTCACGTCAGCAGCGTACACCCATGGGCAAATGGGAGACGCTAAATTGACCAATCAGAGCGCGCGCTTTACTTTGGTTATGTTATAAACTTACTTGGTGTACGGTTTGTGAACAGGCGCACTGATCAGATCATCCAAAGCTTCATTCGCCTCCAGGGTAGGGACAGTCACAACATGGTGCAGGTCATCCCCTTCAATACCATCGATGTCAAGACTGAACTCACGACGAACATTTTCCTGTCTTTGTGCGGGGGCTGTCGCAGGCCTACAGAGAGGGAAATATCGCCAATTTAGCAATTTTTTTTAAGGAAAACTTTATGACACGAGCTAAAAAAGCCGGTCAGGTTATGGTCAGCGCACTGGAAATTGGATTGAGAGGCCGTGGGTTTCAGCTTTGGCCATCGCCATAAACCTTCATCGCATATTAGTCACGTTGAGTCACCAAGGGAAAAAAAATAGATAGTCCCTGTTTTCCACGTTTAATGACATAGAAATATTGCCAGTGTTTTTGAGCAAGACTTTATAGTTCCCCTTCCTCACTACAAGTATAGATGGGGCCAGGGAACTGACTGGGAAGTGTAGGGCTGGCGCGGGGTTAACGTAGAGTGGACTAGCTTTCCAACAAAGAAATCCATCCTAGTAAAAAATCTGAGTATCTCCACACCAGATCAACCGGATTAACTGTTAGTCATGCGCACTACACTCACCTGGCAACCTGAGGCTTTCCTGGTCTTTTATCTTCCTTTTTCTTAGCTGCATTGGTGGCAGAGTCGCTCCCTCCCCGCGCACTTACGTTACTTTTAGCTGTGTTTTCAATTGGAGCTGTACTTGGGCGATTCTTTGAAGACCGTTTAATTCGCTCCTCTAGGTACGCCAGGTCCTTATCTGAGAGCTGTGGAAATAACGTTGATAATTCATCAAAAACTACATTATAAGCCACCAACTGCGTCAAAAAATTGCAACAGTGCGTTTTCTTTTTCTTTTTCTCTTTGCAGAGTGAATTCAATTATCATCAACGATCACTAACAAGCGAAGACATTCCAGTCCGGCACTCCCGATCAGTAAATAAGTGCCTTATCGAATAGTCTTGACTCCTTGATCTTGATTTACTTTCTGAAGAATTCTGAAAAGAAGAACCTTCTTGGAAAATATGCGTGGAGAGTTGATGACTTTGTTACGCTGAACAAAGGGATCTTCAAATTCGGTAACTAAAATTTTTACAAGGTAATTTTTGTTTTGTCAACTAAGTTGATGATGTAAATTGGCCACCGTAAAGACTTTCAAAGCTGACGTTTCGAACACAATTGCAAACACGTTGCAAACGCGTTGTGTGACACAATTTACATTATCAACTCATTGATAAAACCAAAATTACCTCGTTATACTCCCTCACCAACGCAGCACCAGAGTTTCTTTAGAAACTTACTCCTTTTATTCAAGTGAAATGTTAGCTGTGAAACTACACCCTGTCAAGCTCCCGCGCATTTGCTTTGCATTAGAAAGCTAATCCCTTCATTGAAATGTTCCATGTAGTTCAGTTAATTGCGTAATATTTCCAGTCTTATCGTGCCGCATTTTAACAACCCAAAATCAGTTTAAGACGGCATCTTAAGAATAAAAATCAACGGTGGTGGTAAAGATGGCAGCCAAGTCAAATATAGCGATTCACTTAAGAATAAACTTGTCCGGCATTGTCTATTGGCGGTGTCCAAAATGCCAAATCTCACCTGTGAGCAATATTTGTAGCAGGTCTTCTCTCCCACAAGAAAGTAAGCTTCCACTACAGCATTCAAAGCCGCATTTCTGACTCCATTATCCCTGTCGCCTATCTGTGCAGCAATGGCAGCTAACGCCTTGGGAGGGGTGGGCTGACAGACATTCATACCAAATACTTGGATGAGAGAACCTAGTTCCTCTAAACACTCTACAACAGAAAAACAGCGACAGTAGACTAAAATTCACTTCGAAGGATGGACGAATCATGGTTTGGAATTAGTATCCTGCAAAATTATGTCGCAGCGTCGAAGGAAAAATAAGAGAATTAGCTTGCATTGTCTAATTAAGGATGAGTCACGCAGAGTGAATACATCACGCATGACTCACGCAAGATGACTCAAGCAGAGTGAATACATCACTGCTCTTGCAAACCCCAGCTAGGTTGCACCCTCTTCCCTCTTGGCAAATTATATGTTCTTGGCCAATATTTTTCAATTTTTGTCTTCACTGCCGGCGGCAAGTTCTCATATTTCTCAAGGTTTACCACTAAAACCCCAAGTAAGCGAGTACGTTTTGAATATACTTTCGTGAAATATTGCAAGAGAGGTTGTGGTTAAATCAAATTCAAGAAGAGCAATTTTCAACTGAGAATTGACAGCAATTCAGGATTGCAGGGATTTTCTATTAAACACTAATAACCAGCCACATACATAAGTGAAGAGAATTGTTTACTTCTGTTTCACCTTTGTTTCCCACCGAATCCCTGACGGCCGCTGTTGTAACAAGATTCACTCGAACATCACCTTACCAAAACATTATAACATACCCATCCTGGTTTTGGAATTCTTCGACGGGAGGCCTTCCATAACATAGTTAAACAGCTTGCTGGCAGGGTAGATCTTTGTCAGCAGTTTAAACAGGTTACGAATCATCTTTCTTATTGCATCTTTTGGATCCCCAACCTTTCAATAGAAATAATCATTTTCCATCATTATTCATTGGCTAGTGGTCTTGGAAATAATAAATTCTTCAAACTTTTTTGAGCTTTTTGAGAGCGTATTATTGCAAGGAAAAAAAGGAGAAAAAGGTTGAGGTAGGAATGGTGCTTCCCTTGATGTCGAACGAACCGGACAACTCGCAATTTTGCCATTTTGCGCATTTAAAATCGCTACTATTAGAATCAGCCATATTTGTATTCTATCTACCTTTTGAACAAGATAAGGAATAAAACTAGAGGCTTCAAACTCCAACATTTGATAATCAGTCTGTGCTAACATGACGAATACAGCGTCCATTAGTTCCAGGCATTTGATGAGTACGGTGGTGTTAGTGTCAAAGAATCGTAAAGTGACCCACTTAAGGATCAGGTCTAACGACTGTACCACTTCCACTTGATATGGCGCATCGGACGGAGGCACCACACACTGAAAAGAGAAGAAAAGTAACAGTTTAGATAGCTTGCAGAATAAGCGCATCGGACGGAGGCACTACACAG